TTGTCTGTTCATGGTTCTTGCCAGTCTGGAAATGGAGCAAAATGGAAATTTTTTCCCCAGATGTTGTTGTGTTTTTAGGGGAACGTATTTTTCTTGAGCCTGCTTTGAGTGGCACATCCATGTGGAGGTGAAAGTGCCGTACGTGAAAATTGGTGTTTGCTGAAGGCACTGGCTGTGACATTTGGTGACAGTTGGTGACAGTTTGGGAGTAGCTTGTGGTGGCCGATTCTATAGTTTGTCAGGTGTGGAGGTCTGGGCGTGTGACCTGGCAGTATCCTGACCCATGGGGTTATTAAGCATTTCATAAGGAGGTTCTGATTTGAAGATGTATACAGGTTGATAGAATATTGAACATTATGCTTGCAACTGAGAAACTCACCTTATCTTGTTTTTGGTGTTTCTTTTTACTGTGTTAAATGCTATTATAAGATTTAAAATAGACATAGATAAAATAATCTTGACTAATAAGCAAATAATTAAAACCGCCTAAAGCTTACCGATATTAGATTGTTATTTCAAGCTGATTAGGTATCTTAGAGCTTCTTTATTATATTCTCTGATAGATGCATATTCATATCTTCTCCACTATTTTTAAGTGCCATTATAAATCTCTTTCTTATAGTTTAGTTATTTTTTCAAATTTATTTTGTATGTTTGTATCAGTGCTTGTGTATGTACACAGAGTATTTACATAGATTATAGAGAATTAAAACTCACTGAGAAAAGCTTTATAGAAAACATGGCACTCAAATTAAGTCCTATTTATTTTTTATTATTTTATGTTTATCATTTTTTATTTTTTTTGTCCATGCTTTGTGCTTACAGATCATTTGTTAGAAAAAAAAAAAAAACACACTATATTTTCTGAGTTGCATTCAGTCATGTTGACCATGATGTATAAGGTAATAATAGCTTTGGTTTGCTGCCACCTCAGTTGTCACTTTATCTACTAACTTCAGTTCCCACTTTAAATCAAGACCTCCATTTTCAAGGTAAGGAATGCTTGTTGTGGGTGGACATCTGCATTGCAAACTATGCAAAAGAGAAAAATCTACGTATAGAAACAATAATTATACATAATATTACCTTCTTTGTTTGTTTTAATAGCTTTCAATGATATCCAGCCTGTTCTTTCAAGCCCTCTGACACCTAGTTATCCTGTTTTAGCAGATACTGAACCAGGTACAACAATCACTGTCTAATTCTTTTTAATCAGTACTCAGACCATGATCTAAAACTCACTGAAATGACTGTACTGATGATCTTCATTTGGATTAGACCTCTGACAGTTGAAAATTTTAGTTTAGATTGCTGGTAGTTGTTGACATTGTTCCTTTCTCACTTAGGATACTTATGGCAATTCATAGTCTCCTGATGTGCCTTCAGTATTTTGAAAAATATGCCACAAATATAACTGAGAAAAGAGTTTTTATTGTCCAGTACAGCTGATATGAATACTATGATGTATGCTATAGGCTGTCTTCTACTGCTGACATCTTGCTGAGAATATTAAGGAGCGTGTCTTTTTAATGACATGAAATAGGGTAACAGTCATGGACACTTAGTGCTTTTGGACTGAAACCATAGTTGGATCAGTTGTCAGCTCTCAAGTCCAATTTTGTATAGTTCAAATGTCTTGACTGATTGATTGTTCAACGTGTCCTCTTCAGTAAATTGCTACATTTTACATTATACCATCTTTCTTATGTAGTGAACCAAAACTCAAAATGTGCAAATGCTCAACTTCAAAATCTTACTTGACAGTGATTAAGACCCATACCAGTTGCAGTAAAGGCAGGAAGAAAAGAACATCCATAATTTCTGCATGTCACAAATACAATGATTTATAGTCACTGAAGCTCTATGCAGTTCAAAAGACTGAATTTCTCTCTAATATGTACTGAACTGATAATCTGAAAAATGTCCAAGCATTAGTGAAATGTTTATGTTACTCTTATAAAAACAAATTTGTTTTTGCTTATGAAGCAAGAATTTCTTCCATTAGCTCTTTACTGTCTTATGACTGTTGCCATTTCTTCCAACAGCAACAAGTGAATCCATTCTGGAATCTTTCACACCTAAAACTTCTCGTCCTTTTCAGTGGCCAAGGGTAACATTAGGTAATGTTGTTTTCACCCAGTGAAAAGCTTTTGAGCCCATTCATCACATATGAATGCATTTCTTCCAGCACATCATTTCACATGCATAAAATTATTGTTCTTCCCGGTTATAGTCTTGTTCTGCCATTGTCATTAGACTGACTCCTTTTGATATATTTCTGTATGGGGACATAGTTCTGAGCAGTTTTACTGCCCATGGAGCAGTAAAAGACGCCTCTCAGTAACTTGCATGAAAAAGTTCATCATCCTTTTATCAGTAAGCTTTATCTTTTTCCATCACGCATACGCATGTTCTTTCTCTCTGATATGCAGAGCCTTCATAGAGAAATTTCAGTTGATTTGAAGACATACATTTCTAGTCAATGCACAGCATTTCAATATCATCTCCATTCTGCACTTCAAACTCTAATTTCATCAGATGGCTTTGATGTTCCATGCTGAGTTATCCTTTTTTCAATGTAAATTTGTGGCATGCTGTTTGTTGTGAGAAACTCTTGTTAAACTGAGTTGCAAACTGAGCTCTTTCTTTCAGCTCCTAAAGAAATACCACTTACTCCTAAACTGAAACCGTCTGCTACCCCAGGAGTACAGCATGTGGTAACTGGTAACTGTGCACACCATTCTTATAAGCTGATATATAGAAGCATGTTAGCTAAAAATATTTCACCCAGACTTCCTAAAATGGACAGAAGCTATGCAGTGCACAAACATCTTGAGTAATTCATCATTCTGAAATTAATCATTTGATGTTGCGTAACAAAAGAAATGCGAGTTAAGCTCATCAGTTTGTTACACAGTTGGGTCTAATGACAGAAATATAAATATGGTCTCTGGTTTTGTAACGTAATTTAAATGAACGGTGGGGAAAAACTTCTATTATTCTGTTGTCTCTATTGCCAATTGCCACCTCCCATTTCCATGCAGACAAGGATGGCATCTTTGCATCCTTGCATATGGCAAGGATGGCATCTTTGCTAATCACAACAGCTTGTTGATTTGGAGTAAAGTACTTCTCATGTGATTGGTAAGACCTTCCTCAAGGAACTCACTGAAAAGAACTGTGACTTCAGGGGAAGTAGGAGAGCTACCTCAAAATAGAAGGGAAGACTTTTATATATGTGTGAGAAGATCATTCTTTGGCCATAGGGGCATTATTACAATGTGGTAATATTTTTCCTTTTCTGCTTTTTGATAAAATATATATATATATATATATATATATATATATATATATATATCCCTGTAGTCATTTTCTTCTGATTTGGGGTTAAGGGATATGAGCTTTCCTTCTTGAGTATTTCAGGTACTGGACCAATAAATAATATGGTGTGCTAGAGCTTTACAGTGTTTCTGTTCTTGTATAATCAACAGGCATAACACTAAAAGTCAGGAGTTGCCTTTGATGTCTTATGCATGCCTTGACTCCTAGTTCTGACTTTAGATTTTCAGCAAGATTTTGGCATTTAGAAGTTGCTTCTTCAGTACAGATTTTCTGTTATTTTTTATGGAACAAGGTCTTTTCTTCAGTCAGTCTTCATCTGTTCTTCCTTACTTTTCTCCCATAACTTTCAAAGAAATATGGTTTTTTATTCAAGCAAGCAATGGGTTAAAAATACCCTGACAGCACAAATATAGGAAAGGAGCCTCAGAAGCAGATTCTTACACAAAACCCTAAGCATACAGGGTGTAATTTCATAGGAAACCAAACTAAAGGGAGCGTAGGATGTTGTACATAAGATCAGAACTCATGCATGCTTATCAGGTCTATTAAAATAATTTAAAAAGTCAGCTATTGGAATTTTAACGTTTTTGATCTGTTCAATTTCACTTGATTTTTTTTTTGTTTTCTAGCTTCAAAACCCCCACTTCCAGAGCCTAAAACTTCTCAGACTGTTGAACAGCAAAAAGCAACCTTAGGTAATACATACTTACTCAGCTGTTGGTAAATCTTCTCTGCAGCCCAAGTCACAGCTTGAACTCGATTACTTCATCTCATAGCTTCTTTTGTTTGTAATCCATTTCTTTTAGAGAAGAAAAAGTTAAGAAATAATAATTCTGAAATACATTTTTCAGAACTTAAGAGAAAAAGTAACTTGAGGTTTTTTGTGACCTTACTAGTTCTATAGTACAGTAACATTTTTGGAGAGCAGAATATCTTCCATTTTGTTGGGAGTGTTGCTAGTACAGCAGCAGCACATTTTACCCTCAGAAAATCATTAGAAATTCCTTAGAATCATTACTGAAAGACTAGGTAGAAGGTCAGTGTTATGACTGTTAATCCTAGAAATCTCAGTGAATGATTTCTGTGGCACTATGTGGATATGTTAATTCTGCTGCTCTTTTATGAATCCTTCATGAATGTTTGGCGTCAGAAACACTTCTCAGCCACTTCACATTTCTTGCTCTAGTCAGTTCTTCCTGTACCATATGCTTTTCTAGTGTGTCTACTACCCTGAAGCATTTAGAAACTTCTTTGAAAGGAGTCTCATTGCACTCCTTTATAAAAATGTATTAAATTACTTACTATAGTACCTGATACCCACTTTAAGCTTTATTTGATGTCAGATTAATGGTCATTAGCTAATTATACTTTCAGTTCGTAGAAGTTCAGGGAAAAGAACACTTCAGATTTCTGTTTGCTTCTTTTTTTTTTTCCATTTAGATGAAACTGTTTCTATTTTATTAACAGAATGCAATGAATACAGTTGTGCAGCAACTTTCTTTTGTATCACTGCATTAATTCTTCTCCTGCTCCCTTCCAGTGATTTCATTACTGTTGAAAATTGAGACTATTTTTGCAGATTTTGTTTTGTTTATGTTTTGATAAAATTGACCAAGAGGATGAATTATTTTTCCTCCTACCTATCTTACAAAAACAAATTTGATGTTCTAATGAGGGAAACACTTTGATGTAATTATAAGGTGTAATTGCATCTCTTCGATTTACTTACTGACTTTTGGAATGATGAACAAGCAGGCTTTAGGGGAGGATTTTGTGAAGCCTTTTTAGATTTTGCCATTTGCTTTTGCTCCAGTTGCTATTTATTGCTTCATTTCTGGCTTGGAAAATGTGATTCTTATGTGACACAGTAGAAAGAATAGTCTTATAATCCAGAATGTTTTTTTCAGCTCCCAAAGAAGCAAAACTCACACCTTCTGCATCTAAACCTAGACCACCTGGCAGACCCAGAAAGCCACAAATTAAACCTGGTAATTAGCTTCCATACCAAACATTTACTGTACCTTATCATTTAAATAGTTTTATATACTTTAGTTTAAATTCATTTTGTGTGAAGTTCTGCACCTTAGACTCAGAAAAAAATAGGCAGTGAGGGAAGCTATGCTCTTTTGAGGAGGTTTTTGGTT